GGGTAAGTTGGCTTATTTTTTTATTTATTAATTTCTATCTCAATTTCTTTTTCTTTCTTTTAGGCAACATTAGTACTATTTTGTGGTAATATTTGGTATTATTTATCTATTTTCATCTCTTTTTTTAATAGAAATAATTGTTGTGTTTCTTTTATTTTAGTATAAGTGGTCCATTATGTCTTTTTTTAACAAATTTTTGGTTGGATATTCAAACATATTTTATTGGTTTTTATTATTTACATGTATATCTGTATAATTAGTTATTTATATAAGAAAAATCTTTATTTAAAGCTATAAAAATAAAATATTTTTATTTTCATATTTATAATTTCACAAAATACAAGTTTCAAATGTTTAATATTTTGATTTGAAATTACTTACTCACTTCGCGAATAAATTCGTATCAAAAGCCAAAAAAAAATTCTAAGACAAAATTTGCGGATGTAACACATTATTGACTAATCTTAATAAGAAATGGGGAGAGGTTAAGGTTCCCCATGGTATTATTTTATTTTAAGAAAAATATTTTTTGCACAATTTGTTTCTTAAATTTTAGGTCGAACAATTCAGAACAGGTTTTAAAGGAGATGGCATACAATAATTTCTCGATACAACAAAGCCATTAATTAGACCATGGCAAACTTCGGATCCTCATCATTCACTAAACTGATAAAATGAATATTTCTCCGGTTCGAAACCTTTAACCATCCACGTATCAGGATACATGAAGTTTTACGCAGTGTATCAAGCAGCATCACGTATGGTTTCTCGCAGAGCCAAAACAAACGCAATTATATTTCGGATAACAGGCGAAGAATCTTTCGAAATTATGGGTCGGGTATATACAGAAAATAACATTGGCTGGCGAAATTTGAAGGGTGAGGAAAATTTTAAAGGTATATTGAAAAAAATGGGTTCAATTACAAATTTTTTTTTTTTGCAAGAATTAAAGCGCAATTTTGTTTAACCATTAGAAATAGATTATCAAAATTCAAGAATCAGTCAAAATTAAGCTAAATTTATGAATCACGTGAGGTGGATAAGTATGATGATTACCTGTTCTTTTTATTTTTTAAGAAATAAAATGATTAATAATAAATAAATCAATCGCGTGTTAAATCCATGTTGACAATTAGCACTAGTAAAGATTGAAAGCATAACACCTTGTAATAATTCAAAATTTGAAAAGTTGCTATAAAAAAATTTTAGTTTTAAAGTTGGACATCTCGTCGAAGTTTCCCTTCATCAATTTTAGGAGTAAACCCTCTTACTTCAGAATAAAATGATGTCATGCATCATTTGTGATCTCATCAAATAGAAGCTGTTTTAATATTAAATATTTTTGTTAAATTAGTCGGTATAAATTATATAATAATTATAGTTAATCATATAAAGTATATGCTTTAAAAAAATAAAATAACTAACCTCTATAATATTTGAATTTAAATTGTATATATTAAAATAAAATGACTACAATCTAGTATAGTTCATTATCATTTTAATTCAAAAAAAAAAAATAAAATTATTGTAGCTTGAAATGAGGAATATGTATAATATATTTTTTTATTAATTGTTGATATATAAAGTTAAATAAAATGAACGAATGTGGTTAAAGAATAAATATACGGAATTACAATCTGAAATTGCGTTTATTAATTTTGAATATCTTCTCAGGCCCAATTGTCAGATAACTTTTTAACGCGCTAAAATTCAATGATGCATACCAACTTATTCGTTCAAGCAAATATACCTTTAATTGGGATTTTGTACTGTTGCCTTATCAATCCTGTTAAGAGAAAAAAATTCGATTTACAAATTTTTTGAATCAAGTTACAGGGGGTGAAATTAATATTGAATAAATTTATTATCGATTTTATTATATATGAATTCGCAAATATCCACCACATATACTGTATTTAATATTTAGTATGATCAACTTTAGCAGAAATATCTGCTTGATTTCTAGGAACTAACGTTATAATTCTTCGGAGATTAACTTCCATTCTTCGATAACCATTTTTTCCAGTTCTTGAATCTTCGATGGTCCGGGGTTGCATTTTATTTTCGAAGTCCTGATTCAAAAATTGACGAAAGATCCTCAATAGGGTTAAGGTCAGGGCTTTAAGGTGGCCATGGTAAAAGTAGTCCAAGACAAAACCATGAAAAACATTCGCTTAGAACTGTGTTTTTACGTGTTTTAACGGTCGAGACGATACAATCTTCATAAAATCCTTTATCCGTCTTCGCCAAATTCTACCCCACATTGCAGTTTCAAATTGAGAGAAAGTAGACTCATCCGACCAATTACTTTCCTTTTGACATGCAAAAAATGCACCACTTTGCTCAGGAATGACTTCATTTGCAAGACACATTATTACGAAAAAGATGCGAAATTTGCAAAATTTTTGAAAAATTTAAATCAAAATAAACAAAAACCAAATGCATTTTTTATCAAAACAATTTTATTTTTGATTAGATATTTAGTACACCATTTTAATAAATGGCTTTGTTTTATTTTTTACATGCTAAAAATGACTGATTATGCTTCGCGAAAAAATTATTCAATATTTATTTCCCCCCCGTAGTTTATTATGTCATACATCACTTGCTACCCGAATTTGACTACTATTGCTATTCATTATAAGGAAAATAATAAGAATAAACAAAAAAATAATTTCTGCATATTTAATGTCTAGAAATTTTTCTTCAATTAAAAATTATATAATGTAATTAATAATATGGATTAAGTTTTAAAAGTTTCACTTTGGATAACAAACATTATTTTCTGAGAGATTATAAAACAAATTGTAAAAAAAAAAATTCATGGAAGTTTTAAAATAAAACGTAACCCATTATTATGAAGAATTTAAATTATTTTGTTTTCACATAAAGTATATTGATTGATATTTCCGTAATTATGCTGATTTTCAAACGTGCTTTATAAATGCCGATTTTGATTATTTTATTTATGACTATGGTCATTTGATCTTAATGAAACAGACAATATCCAGGTAGGGTACGATAATATTATTTTATTGCTTATGGTTATAACTTTATGCTTTAAGCAATCAGCTTAATAGACAGGGTTTAATATATAGAACTTTTTTTAGGCGGGCTGGTTTTCGGTATCGGGGCGCAGCTTTATATCAGATAAGTAAAAGTTTACCCGATTCGACGCGTGCCCAACGTCGAAACTAATGCTAGCTAGGTATTTCCGTATAATTAAAATTCCATAGAAATGGATTAAAAGATAAATTCAATATATTTTAAAAAGTATTTGTTTTACTTTGGAAATTTTTATTTGATTTTATATTTTATTATTTTCAAACTTTAACATGATCAATAATTTGGTTCAGAATTCTGACTCAATATATATATAATCAGTTTGTGAGGAAAGATAAATTCTAAAGGTTGTCTTTACTCACCTTTTTGTTCATCCATTAGTCTTGTCAAGGGAACTTTTTTTCTTTTCTTTATAAATACAATGCATTATTTTTCTTTCTTTTGTGTACAAATTTTTATCCACTCAGATATTTTAAGTCTATATTTTTATTTAGTAGTCGCGTATTTTTTTACTTCATACACGAAAACTTACTTTTAAGATGGTTTGTATCAATGACGACCTGTATATTATGGACCAGACACAAGATACATTATATACGAAGATCAAAATCCGTTTGTTTCTACACCATAAATCCTTTTACTATTACGAATGTCACCATAAACTAAATATTTTCATCTCCAGCATTACAACTAACATTAACGTCTATAATTACCAAACTTCATCTTCACAGATTCCGTATATAGAGGTTGAAATTGGTTAATTTTAACCGGTTAATTAACCTGTTAAAATAAATAACATGTTAATCGGATAAAGATTATTTAACCGGCTGATAGATAAATTCAATTCCGGCCGAAATTCAATTTCCGTCCAGAATTAAGATTTTACGGTTCAAATACTATTTCCAACTCTTAGGGATGAAGAGATTTTGGTACAAATATCATCATGATGAAAAATTGCAAGCTAATCTTACATATGAGAATCAATCTATGCATTAAGCTTTTATAATTGCTCTTCCAAAGTTATCCTACTTAGGAAAAGAAAGACCTGAATTGCCTGATGGCAAATTATAATGTTGTTTATATTAGAATATTTTCTTCATTAGTAAACTACAACAAAAGAGTTACGTATTGTTTCATTTTATTTGTACAAATAATGACAATTTCTAGCTTATAATAATAACTTATAAGGAATCGAACATATAAACTATATGTGAGGTGATGGAAAAATGCTATTGTTCATGATTACTACGAGCAAAATTAGTGATTTCTTTCTTCTATATGGGGCTCTCACCCAAAAATTGTTTTGAAGCGTTAAAAACCTAGAATCGAGAACTTTGACGTGGATATAATGTTATAGAAGAATGTACTCTATAAAGTAATAACGGTAAAACTTTTCATGTAAATAACGCAATTACGATCAAAATAATTATTTTAAATGATTTAATAATTTATGTTATTTAAAGTATACTATTTTTACCTTGACCACCTTCAAAAATACAGAGATTGAGTGATTTGTAAATTATACTCTTCAAATTTAATACTTTAAGATGTACCAGCACAATTTTTCCCAAATTATAACCTTAAATTTTATAGAATTCATTTATTATTAACAACCTCCTTCCCAATTTCATCATGTCAAAATATTTGATTTTACACCCTTAGTTAATATTTAAAATAACAAATTAATTATTTTGACTCGAATAAATATAATCATCTCCGCTGCATATTAATTTACTTTTATGATAATTAAATTACACCAAAATCTTATATCGATAGAAACTTTACTGTATATTTAAATGGTTCAATTACTAATTTATCCCTATGCCACGATTGGTTGGTATAATGGAGATTAGTTAGGGTGATTCTTATGAACCGACACGTTTTGATATTCTTTTAATAGATGGTTCTAGATTCGGCCGAAACGAGAAGTACTAAAATAATTTCTTCAACAGTTTATCATAACTTCAAGGATGTCTGTATATTTTGCTCGCTCGTCCAATGAAAGAATGACAAATGTACATTTATTACACATTACACTAAAAACAATTCAAATTTTAATACATTATTATACAGTATTTAATATATATAATACTTCGAATAATTTTAAAGATTTTTATTGTTAAATTTGTAATATCAAAAAATTAGAATTTTTCTTTATTTGAAGCCAAAGTTCTTCGTAAAAATATATTGTTTTCAGTTCTTTCGTTTATGTATTTTAAATGTAAGAAGAAGGTTTTATTTGACGCTAAATTTATTTAATAATATCTAATTAATCAGGTTGTCTCAATGTCGGCCATCTACAATTTCACAATGTCAACATAATTAATTAAACTGCGCAATTACGAAATTGTGTAATAAAATTATAAGATAATTCTGAAATTAAGAAATAAATGAAATTACAAATATGAAATTATAATGTTAAAATGTCGAAGCGAAAATATCGCGAAGGAATAAAGAAAAGTTTTTAATATAAGAAGGTCGAGCGTGGAATGTTCTGTTTAATGATTTCTAGCTCGTATTTATAAAATATAAATATTAGGACAGCCTGGCATCCTGCCATTTGTCATCATGCTATTTTGTCGTCCTGTCAACCTGGCATTGGCACATGAAAACAATTAACATGCGAAATTATGGTTCTATGAACGGAATGTAACATTCATATGCACACGTCTTCACTAACTTCAATTGAAAAACGAAATATTAATTTCTTCCAGCTATTTAAAACAAATTTATTATAATTTTCAAGATAATCTGCTTGGCGTACAAATATATTACTAAATTTAACTTTTCTTTTCATAATTAAATCAATTATTCCAACAAGAAGTTAGAAACAAAATTTATATTTTCATGATTTTTAATTAAAAGAAAATTTTAATTTGAATACTTCATAATCATTTAAAGAAAGTTTATCAAACCAGCATATGCTATAGAATAGATATTGAAACACAACTCTTAATTACTGTGCCACATTTTTGAAGAATAAGTGACTAATTAACAGAAATTATATGAAGTAAGGAAGAAGTAAACACAGCTTAATTTCATATTTAATGTTACCATTTTTGTTTATATGAATATAGGTTTAGATCACATCAAAAAAAATTTTATGCAAATATTACATAAAATTCTTAAGTATTAATTAATATCAAGATCAATTTCCCTGGTTAAATATTCTAAATATATATATAATACATATTAGTTATAAAATATAATTAATATTAACATTTACATAATCAAATTACCTTCCATAGATTCATTAATATTCATAATATTCGCATTAATATCTATTTCCAATTCTTTTGTTACATAATCTAATAAATACAGAATAATCATTTAATAAATTTAGTTTTCGTTTTTTAATCATTAATATTGGCTGCATATACTATGCAGAAATAAATAAAACAAAATTTACTATTATTAGATTATATACCTTTTTTATTGCTTTTGTTATCATCAATTAATTTATCCATAATCTTTATCTTATCTTTTATTTTTCAAAAAAAAATAAAAATAAAATTAATAAATAAAATTAAAAGTTAAAATGATTATTCTTGTAATTATGTACTATTGAAGAATATAATACTCTTTTGATAATCAACAAATGGATCTAAACAAGTCAGCAAAATTTTATTAAGTTTTTTTAATTAAAAAGAAAATAAAAAAAGAAAATAAAAATAATCACCGAATTCTGTAATAGATTGACTTCTTGAGAATATCACAGATCTGCTCAATGATCTACTTTTATATACTGCTCCTGAATGATTCGTGGCTATAGGTCCAATATCTGATGAAAATATGAAATTTGTTGTATTTCTATGAATATGTGAATTTTTAAGCATATAAAAAACTTTTTTACTTAAATAATAAGCTGTTGGCCTTTTATTTGGATCAGGATGCCAACATTCTCTCATTAATTCGATATAACCTCAGTTGCATTTGTAACAATTGAAGGACGTATACCGTCGCATATTCTAATAATAAGTTCTATATCATGATCTTGATCCCAAAAAGGCCTTCTGCCTGTCATTAACTCCCACATAATCATACCAAAACTATAGATATCTGAGGACATAGTATAATTTTGTCCATGAAAAATCTCTGGAGCAATATAAGGAATAATGCCATAAATTTTATCATCATTGTTGTTATTATTATCTGCTAATTCATTTAATGATTTGCTAATTCCTAAATCACCAATTAGAATATCATGGTCTCCATCACAAAGGATATTGCCGCTATGAAAATCCCAATGAATAATCTCTTTATTATGAATATATTTAAGACCTTTAATAATTTTATTCAATATATATAA